ATTGAAGGTTATCCTCTTAGTATTTTAATAAATTTTGGCTAAGTTATTATAAAAATTGCAATTATTAAAAACAGATTTTATTCAGTCTGGAGAGCAATTGAAGCTTAATAAATGTCAACATATATTTAAATTGGCATCCTGGGTTTCCCCTTCATTTGCATATGATGAATATTCATATATGGTAATATACTAAGGCCTTCTGGGTAATTTTTTGACATATATTAACCTAAGGTTTATATATAACGTCCGAACACAATTTTCAACAAGAGCCAGTAGCTCAGTAGGATGCGCGCAGGATCCGAACCGGGAGGTCCCCGGTTCAGGTCCTGGGCCGTCCTGAGGAGCTTTTAGACTTTTTTTAAAATATATACTAAGTTTTCTGACAAAATTGTGCATGGGTAGGACTTGAACCGGGAACCCTTGGGTATGTAGCCTTACACTCTTACCACTACACCACTGGGTTTTTCTTAAAAAAGTAAGGATTCCGGTAATTAAAACCCTTAGGTTGTTCTGACTTAGTCTCCAGAGAGAGTTGGAAGCTGAGGGGTAGAGGCCTTGGGTCTGGGGTAGGAACTTGGGACTTAGGTTTGGGCTGATCAACTCACTGGAGAATTTATAAACTGGATGGTTTATACTTTGTACTTATACTTTATACTTTATACTTAAATATGAATTTTCTCAATCATGCTCTGGAGGAACCATTAGCTTGGACTTAGCTTTGGCTGGGAATTGAGTTAATTTATCAAGGCATTTCTTTTAAGCTTCTGAGACTGTAAATTTAAAGACTGTAAAGTTAAAAAAGTAAATTTAAAGACGAGCACATAAGAACGAGTGCAACAATACTAACATGTTAAACTTGCCATACCATAATTTTGGAATTTATTTCTGCATTTTGTTATAAAACAGCAGTAGAACATATACATCAATGTACAAACTAACAGTGCGTTATAATTTTCTGTTAGCACTTTAAAAGTTTTACAATAAAAGAGCAAATTAAAGTGACTTTCTCTGAAACGTTTACCAGGCAATCAATTTGTCAGAAAATGCAAGTCAGTTGTACTGGCCAACAATACAATGGTAGCAATTTTGGGGTATACATAAAACTGACAAGTTTTTTTACTTAAAAATACTCGGATAATTTTAAATACACCTCCAGTTTCCTAATGTAACAATAGATAATTGCCATTTTCTAAAAAACACATTCTGAAAGGGGACTCTAAAATACCTAAAATTAAAGTTTTAAAATGAGAATACAAATTACATTGAAATCCTTCACTTTCCCGATTTGGATAGCTCTGCACACATCTTTACGAATAACCGCTGATGTTTAGTATTTGTTGGTCATATGAAACAATTATCTGTTGTTTTGGAATACGGTGTTTTTGCCTTTGTTGCTTTTAATGGTTGGTGTGGAAAGTGTTACACAACACTGTTGCTTGTATTGATAAATTGTTGAAAATCACATTAAAATGTGCTAATCTTAAAACACTCTGTCCAAGTGTATTCATTTTTGTCTACATGTCTGATTATGAATTTTAAAAAATGGTTAATTTTGTTTTCAACAAGGAAAAATATTTATACATGGTAGAATTTCAAAAAAAATCCTGATGAAAACCTTTGACCAGTTTTCTATTTTCACTTTTTGTTCTAACTGAATGCCAGCAAATTAAAGAATACACATACCATTTACATTTTCCATTTACAGTAAAAATTAAATAATCTTTACTAAAACATTACATTTTTGCACCGGTGAAAAAACAAGGAAAAACCTACAATAATTTACAATTAAATTCTGCAGAATACAATTTAAATAATAACTGGCATAAGTTCATTGGAAATACAAACGAGAACCACTGTTGAATAACAAAATTTCGGCTTATTTTTTTAAAAATGTTCCTTAGTACGGAAGTTCTGATTTTACAGTTCACAACCAATACAAACCTGAATACTTGGGGCAAAAATAATAATAGAATAAAGCAAGTGCACAAAAATATGGTTCCTACTAAGACCAGCCTTTTAAAGGAAACAAAAAGGGCCAATTACAGGTTGCAATTTGAATTCCATACTGAAAATGTTCTTGCAACAAACAAATTTGTTTAAGTTCAATAATTCCAACTACTTGTTCTTACAAACTCATGTATGATATGTAATCTGGAAGATGGGCCGTTCTACAAATTTGGGGTCCACTTTTGTCCTGCCCCTGTTGCATCTGACATCTATGATTTTAAAATTCTGCTGCACACCTTAACGCACACATCCTCCAAGAGTGATTATGTGAACGCAAACGACCTACCCAACAACTACAATTTAGTTTGAACTCATTTTTAATGACATTTGAAAGGCGGACTACACAATTCAGACATAACTGGGAGAGGGAATTTTTTTACGCTTTTGGCCCTACATTTATACATGTAGAATGACTGAGATGCGTACATATAGGCCTAATGCATTTATATACTGTGTAAAAAGACAGTCTCAGTTTGTCGCCAGATGATCAAATTTCCCCAAAGTTTAGATAAATTATTGCTATAAAATGAATTAAAAGGAAGCAAAAGTGACATATTTCACAATTTGCAAGCCTGGTTGTTGTTACTGCATGCTTTGACAGCTACCTTTTGATCTGTTACCGAATACAAAGCTTTAAACAATTAATCTGCAATAACAGCTCTGCCCACTTTGCCCACGTCAACCAACAATCGCTCGTAAAAGTAAAACTCTGTTTTCACATTTTTTGTTCATGCATCCAATGACACAAAAGACGGCTGCAAAACTGGTTAAATGATCGTTTGTGAAATAAAATAGGTCGCCTTAAATAAAAACTTAAAAACCATTATTCATACGATATAACCGTTATTAACAGTTATCAACCGTTAATATTGCATCCAAATAGAAGAAACTTCCTTATAAAAGAATATAGCACCATGAAACTAGAATATGAGCCTGGATTCTTCAAAATACTTGAGCCCTTTTTGTTTAAAGACTTTTTACAAAGCATTCCGGATATAAAAATTTATATGAATCTTTATCCGCTTTTAGTGACAAATTTTGTAGAATCCAGTCTCGTGCGGCATTAGTCTGGTTCCCTGACTAGACTATCCCGGCGTCTCACAATAGATCATAGATCAGATAACTGTAACATTCACAAAAGAGAATATGACGTAGCAAAGCCCAGCCCTTGTGCGAGTGCATTATCGAGGCACGACGTCTCTTTAAATGTACGCTGACCACAGAAATCATCAAACAAATGCCGTGAATTTCTGATAGTAAGCATGCCTTGAGTTTTCTTTTTTTAGTATTAAAATAAAAAACGTTTTACGTCAGAAAATAACCGACATATTGCAGACGTATCTGGGTGTCAACAGAAACGTACTCTGGAAAATTGCAAAAATATTTGGGAATGGGCAGGATCCTTCCCATTTTAGTCACCTAATGGACCTAACATTTGTAAGAATAATCAGAATCTTGTGGTCTGGGAACCAGACTAACATGGAGATTAAAATTATAACACCATAATGCAAATTTAAAAAAATTAACGTAATACTATTAAATATTAACTTTTGTACCTTACACCAATAACAAACCCAAAATTTGCCAAAAACCTAATCGGAGTGATTGTCATAAAATACAGAGCTCTAACAATACATCAAAATCCATAAAAAAACGCACAACTCTGGATTTTAGCAGATGATGATGATCTCAGAAGAAAATGTCCACACATCCCTTGTAGAATATAACTGATGGAAATATATGCTACAAATTTTCAGTAAGCATTTTGCATATATCTTGAATACTTAAAAAAGTAAGAAATGCTTTGGTGAAGTAGAAAAGAGATGCATATTAAATGCATACTAAAGGCTACAAAATGTTCAGAATACCGATAGAAAATTGTAGAGCTAAGCCTACTGAGTAACAGTTCAATGCATAGATGCTTGTAAGAAATGGTAAAAGAAAACTTGGAGCTAGAAAGGAAACTGCGGTTTGAAATACTGAGAGAACAGTTGAACCAGATTTGAAAATGAGTGTCAACAAGCAGTCAAAAATGCTTAAAAACATTTCACAATTCATGACAAATTGAGCTGCTGCACACTGAAGAAATCGGAAAAGTTAGGCCAAACGTTTTGATCACTTTGTGATTGTGTTTTTTTGTGGAAATAAATTCGCTAAAAGACTGCAACAAATAGAATCCATAAAACACACCATTTTGCTTACCATTTCCAAAATGTACACGGTATATACACATATATATACATTTAAGGTATTTTACTGCATTTTTGTGCTCATTTCAATAAACAAACAGCAAAGAGTTTTCCTTAATACTTCTTTACCTACTTGAAAAAGACAACTTATATATTGGCTCAAATTTGTAACTATTTTTTTTCTAAAGTCTCATTCCTTCAAACATGCAACTGGGAATTTAGAAAAAACTGAGGAAACTCCAAACCAAACTAGAGTTTGTACAGTGGTTTTTAATTTGTAATGGCATTCATGAGAAGTACAAAACGAGGAAATCAGCAGATCCGAGGAAAAGTTGCATGCCAGTCCCTTAGAAAAAAATTATTGAAATTACTGCTTCGATTTTTCATAAATTGTCTCAGCCATTCTGCGCAACTTCACATGTAAGACATGCATTCGCTAAAACTTGAGTATCGGAACATTACAAAACCGGGTCCCATTGGACTATCTGTTATTTAGTTAAATGGTTTGGCATGATCTACACGTATTTACATAAGAGTTACATGATTGTCATGATATGATTGACGTGCATTTCTAATGTCTCGCGCCCACACAGTTTATTTCTTATTGATCAGGCAACCTGTTAGTTTCAGATTACACCACTTGAACATGCAGATTACGAGTAGCATTCCAAGTCAATTTCCTTTGAACGACCACAACGTCAAATCACGTGCGTCATGATACATTGACGCAAAGCTAGGCTTTGGCTACATAGAACATTTAACTGTTGATGCACAACTTTTTTTTTTTTTAACTGACTGATCAAATTTTCAGTCCGTTCAGATTTTACGCTTTGAAGCGAGACAGTTGAGGGCGATTCCTGCGTCACAGACGTTACAAATCAGACACTTTTGGGTACTTTGAAAACTCGGTGAATAAACTTGAAAATGTACTATTCAAACTCTTATACATCCATCATAAACTGTCAAGGAGATTCTAGACTAGCAGTTTCGGATTGTTTCTCTGAATCGTTATTAATTAGATATCATGGTTAATTTGGTTCTGTCACAGACATTACACTTCCTTGGTAATGCTGGGATTGCCTTCATATCTCATGACTACCTCTTGAACACACCACCGCAATATAACAAAACAGTTGTTGCCTGCTGTCGCAGGGGACATTCACCCCCAAAAGATTGGTGTGTCGCATGTAATTGTTAACAGTGAACTTACAGTTTACTTGAGGAACGGCTGATCAAACGTGAACCCTCTTTTTTTTCCCAGGCATGCATCAATCTGAGGAAGATACACTGAGTATCTGTCATACATGTAGCGTAACATACTCTTTAGTTCTCATGGCCTTTTAAGGTCAAATACATACGTATTTTATCTAAGACACAGCATGATGGAACTTGTTAGTAATTTCAACCAATCACACACCAAACGGACAAGCCTCATGGCACAAAGCAACCAATGGAATCCCACAGATTCTTATGAGATCTGGTTGCCAGACTAGTGTGTGTATGACTCAAGGCAGGTGCTCTGATTTAAAGAGTCAGTGCCCAGACGGTTTAAAATTGGCGTCTCAGAAGACCGCATGATCGGCAAAGCAATACCATCCACTATTGAAAAACCGTACGCTATACGTCAGCAATTTCGGCGTCATCTATGTGCGTGACCGGGCCGATGGTGGTGATGGTGGTGGATGCGTTGCTGAGTAGCGTCGTGGTCATCTCTGGAGGGGGCGGGATCGGGGGCGGGATGACCGGCTCTGGAGGAAGATGTGTCGTGGAGGCAATACGCTGCATCTCAGGTGAGAGATGATTCTGAATACTCTGAAGGTAGCTCTGTCAAAAGAAGAAAGAAACTAAATTAGAACGAATCTTTAACAAGTTTCAGTATCAGAATTGACACATTTATATGTTCAGTTGAACTGAGTGCTACTCATGGTGTCAGAAGTGGGATTCCATGCCTATAGTTACACAAATCACATCCCAGACGGGCATCTCGGGCAAGCTTAGAGATGGTTATTGATGCTGTGAAGATAGCTCGATGATGACCAAAAAAACAAATACAGGTATGATTGATTTGAAAAAAGTTGGCATTACAAATGATACATTTTCAAAACAATGGTGTCAGAAGTGGGATGCCTCGTGTCCCTCGAGTTCGAATCGCAACTACCATGCTGAGCGATATGTTGCAGCATGGGTGAGAGATGGTTAGAAATGCAATGACGATGAGATAGCTCAGTGATTAGAAAATGAAACAGGATTAGATAGATACAGAAAACAAAAACAGATTAAAATGGATTCAGGAATACATGTTCCACCTAAAAATGGTGTCAGAAGTGGGATAATGAACAAGCCTCAAGTTTTTCAGAATTGGTTTCAAGTAACACTGATGAACAACCAAAATGCCAAGTGACATCTGCTCTCAAGCAAGAGCCTAGGGTGTGAGCCCAAACCCAGGAAAGCTTATGATTTTTTTATCACTCTCAGAAATGTAGACCAAAAAATACATGAACTACCAGTGAAGGGTCAAACCAAATGCTAGTAACTGGATCCTTGATGTTCACTACAGTGACAACCTACTGAATTTTCTAGGGGGAAGTGTTTACAGACATCTCTCAATCTTTGAAACAAAAGCACAACCTCATCTCCCTTTTCCCTCCAGAGGAAACAATATTGTTTCCTGCCAGCTTCATAAATAGACTGTCAAGCCCAGACGTCTTGCAGTCCAACAACACAGACCACAGAGATGCAAAATTGTGTTATAGGGGCTTTATCAGAATTTGTCTCTACACATGATTTTGTGTTCTCTTGTTCGGTGAGCAAGTGTTTTTGGGGTTTTTTTTGAGGGTGAGTCTTTAGCATTAAAAGCCAATACTTTGAATACAAAAGTGTGTTCACATACATGACTTAACGGTACGTGTAATGCCTTGCTAAATGAGTCACACGTTGTCAGAACTTTGTGCTTGGAGTCAACGGCCCTCGAACGGAAATCAAAGAAAATGTTCCCATCCCATAACTTCCTTCTTAAGTCATGATCTTAAACTGAAGTGACTAATACTTATATGCCCATGCTTTTTCCTGAAAACCGTCAAAAGGTGTTTCTATGATTTTCTGTACTGATTAGCGAAAGCTTACATGTAACCAATAAAAGTATTTCTGCACAAGGTTATCTCTGTAATGAGCATTGAGCAGGCATGTGCTCAACGAAATTAAAAGAACGCATGCCACAAATAAGAGAATTGACCCCAGCAAAGTTAAACAATTTGGGCAACTTTTGATGCAGAAGCAGCAGCACCACTGAACTCAGCCTAAGACGACACCACTTTGTTGCTCGTGAATGTGAAACTTCAAATGACCATCAACACCAAAAGGGCCATGAAACAACCACAGAAATGGCAAAACAATGCCTGAAAAATAAAAATGTGTATTATTGCATGTGCCCTATATGGCATATACCAGAAGGACCATTAGCTTTTCATGCATTTTTCTTTTCATGCATAACCTGTTGAAGTTTCAGCTCAGCGGATATTTCACTTTTCAAGGAAAAAAAAACATGCACAATCTTTTGATCACGAAACACGATTCCGTCCATACTCAATAGAACTCCTTATTTCCTGAAATCAGTCCATTGACTGATGCCTTGATTCCAGCATGGAGCTATAAAAAGGAGCTCTATGATTTCAGCAAGCGACACGGAAAAAATGGGGCTCTTAGTACCAGTATGATCTTCAATCCAAGTAAGCTTTTTGATAATAATTTGGAAGGTTACTTTGGGTTAAATTCAGATGATCCTCTAAAGCTTCCCTTAATAAGAAGTCGTCTTATATTTATAGTCCTGCGCACTCTCAGGACTCGGCAGCGACTACCTGCCGAGTTTTTTTCCCTTGCCTTAATCCACGCCATAGCAAGATGACTCATAACTGTCTGGGGACGATTTCCCCGGAATTTATTTCCGTCACACTGCACATGAAAGTAGGTCATGATGGTTATCAGGGGACTCTACGGACGCATTAATGTGAAGAATACGTTGTTTAAGTTTTTCTGCTCTTTGTGGGCGGGGCTTGGGAAAGCAGAGAATGGGAGGCTTGTGGTTTTGTTCCGACTGCACGTACTCCTATTCCTAATCCTAACCCTAACCGGGAGTAACACAATCTTATGTGCAGGTGGTCGAAAACAGTCACTCTGAACATAGGGGTCTGGCGGAACATAAAGCAGTCACCGCTTTCTTCCATACCAAAAATATTAACATGTTTTATTCCTGCATGTGTAAAAATTAAAACTAAAAGCACACATCATGTTACAGCGCGCACAGGTTTTTGGACTGTGCAGCGATTCACCCAAGCAGGCGCCCTTAACACACACGCCAACAGGCTAGGCGTGCCGTTCGTCGACCGAGACCAGTTCATGAATATGGGAACATGAATACTGCATGGAACCAAGGCTGTACGTGAACTACCCCGCTTAATATCTTCCACCAAGATTAAGAAGAGCCCTGAACTGCATTGAAGCCAAGGATGAAGAAACGTCTCTGGCAATAAACACTGACAAAAACATGCCTGCATTCTTTAGTTGACAAGTTTTGGGGGGAGGGCAGGGGGGCAAGGGGGGTTCCAGGCAAAGGGCACACATCCCGACCTCTGATTGGTCATCCTTGAATTAACTATTTACATATTAATCAACGGTCAATGATTTATGATTGGTATGATTTGATGGATCACCTCGATGATACAGCCTGTCAACTCTGATTGATAGAGGGAGAGTAACTTCTGACATTTGCCAGACGTTGACAGAGGGAGGAGCAGATAGCGATCAGCTCATATTGAGTGACAGTGCAGGTACGCTACGTATGCTTGTATTTTTTTGACGAGCAATAATTGGTTGATAAGGCCAGGGTTCAATGTTACAGAGTAGCATCTCCCTAAAGTACATGCAGAGTTACGCAAATTTCCTTTTTTCCTTAAAATATTTTTAAAACATAGCGAAATTATTCCGTCTGACTTGCTGTCATTCAGAAGAATTCAAGAAATGTGGGTGATTTCCAACGATCAGTCAATTGACTCATACTTGAAAACACAGTGTGATACGGACAAAATATAATCATGCTTCACGGTTAAATAGGCCTATGGTTAAATATGGTTGAATCTCAGCACAGTTTGAAATTTGACATTTTTTTTAATCAGCTAAGTTTACAAGGACGTACAATCTATAACTCAAGTATTTATAACTTGAAGAGGGAACGTCATGTCGTGAAGAATTACTTTCACTTCCCTGACGTAATTGAACATAAATACATGCTTGAAGACTGTATGTTTGTTCTATAAATACTGGTACATAATGAACATGAATGTAATGATTAAAAGGATTGTAAAAAGCTAAATGGTGGAAATGCATCAACAAAAAAGTGAACAGCTGTTTGGTTTGGGGTGGGTTTTTTTTGGGGGGGGGGAGGCTGGCTTCATTTGCAATTTGTTTCCTTCTGTTTGTTGGGGTGTTGGGTTGTTTTTTCTAGCTTGTATCCCATACCGTTGAGTTGCCTTGGGGAGGATGATTCTCGTTAAATATAAAGGTTTGCTGCATTGCTAATGTTGCCAGCATCCTGACCTCAGGCACGATCCCTGACTACAAGGCATTAACGGGATTATGGCTTCTGACAAAAAGATTGATAAATAGGGAGCCCACCAACATAGGACTAGAGAGCTCAGTTGGTAGAGCACCAGATCAGCAATCTGGAGGTTGCAGGTTCAAAACCCCGCTCAAGTCAATTTCTCTGCTCACAACTTTTACATAAAAAAGTAAACACTCAGCAAACCTCTTTCTCCACACATTATTTCAAAATTGTCCCCATGTGCCCAACAAAAGGCCAAAAGTTCAACAGGTGCAAGCACAAATTGCAACAACATTTCTGCGGGTCAAAATGCCAGACTTTGTGCAATGGATCGCCCTTTTGAGGAACCAGAGGTAATGCGAACCAACTAAACTTCCTTCGCAGTGAAATAATAAAGTCACATCGGGGACCAGGCATCCAATTATTGGCCCTAATTTTCCCCGGTAGAGAAACAAAATGTGATTCACAAGACAGGATTTCCACATCGAAAAAAGATAGACAGAAAACGAGAAAAGCAAACTAAAAGAACAAGAAAATGTTAGCTTTTTTTTTCTTTCTTTTTTTTTCTTTTTTGGGCCGGGTACCGGTTTGAGTCACATATCCTGGGTCGAACCCGGGGAGAGTTCCAATTTGACTTTGGGGACCACAGCGGGGCACCGTTGACGGTTTTCCTGATTTCTTCGATGACGACTTCCTAGGGTTCCTGGTTCGGTTACGTGATTTGTTGCGAAGAGATTCAATTCATCTTGATTCTTGATTTGAGACACATTTGTTCTCTTATTAATTCCAGCTTTTTTGTTTGTTTTGTTTTTTGTCTCTCCCTGCTGGTTCATACTTTGCGCAAAAGTTTTATGTGAACACCGGTTTCTGGCATCAGGCAAATATTTGATCATTATTAAGTAAGGGCAACAGCAGAAACTATGGTCCCAGGGGCAACTTCAACAAACATATATTATTCTTACCACAGCTAAAGTAAGGGCAATAGCAGAAACTATGGCCCCAGGGCCAACTTCAACAAACATATATTATTCTTACCACAGCTAAAGTAAGGGCAATAGCAGAAACTATGGTCCCAGGGGCAACTTCAACAAACATATATTATTCTTACTACATCTAAAGTAAGGGCAATAGCAGAAACTATGGTCCATGGGGCAACTTCAACAAACATATATTATTCTTACTACATCTAAAGTAAGGGCAATAGCAGAAACTATGGTCCCAGGGGCAACTTCAACAAACATATATTATTCTTACTACATCTAAAGTAAGGGCAATAGCAGAAACTATGGTCCCAGGGGCAACTTCAACAAACATATATTATTCTTACCACAACTAAAGTAAGGGCACTAGCAGAAACTATGGCCCCAGGGCCAACTTCAACTAACATATAATAGCTGAAGTAAGGGCAATAGCAGAAACTACGGCACATGAGGCAACATTAATACACATATTATTCTTATCACAGTTAAAGTAAGGGCAGTAGCAGAAACTATGGCTCAAGGGGCAACATCAACAAACATACATGTACATGTACATGTATTTGTTAGGGCAGTAGCAGAACTATGGCCCCAATGGCAACATCAACAATCACATATTATCCTTACCACAGCCACCACATCTCCATTGCACCGTCGGACCCGGTAAAGATTTTGATATTTTTGTAGTCGGACTTCGTTGCCGTCTCTGGACTGATGCTTTTTTATCTTGTGCAGTTCCACGTGATGTGACTTCATCATTTTTTTTTTACCTGCAAAAAGGGTGATACAAAATTCACATTCAGTGAATGAATTCCATATAAAATTTTTACTTTTGACTTTCAATTATCTGCAATCAGTATTGATATTTCATGAAAATGCTTCATTTCCATCACGAGGCCCCCTTCAATGGCGAAAGCATTGTGCTAGCTATTGTCCAGATAATCCGTCATGGGGCAGTTGCTTTGTACAATAGCATGCACAATGGGGGCTCCATTGAAGGGGGCCTCGTGAGGGTGCTATGATCATGTGCCTGGATTCATCTATACAAACTGAGTTTATATTTTGATTTTGAAGTTTGTGTTTTAAGACCTTAATACCGTGCTAAATACAGAGTGAGTAAAAAAAACAACCCAAATGGCAGGACCAATTTCCAAATGAAGTTCTTTATGTAGCACTTTCAAAATCTAGGATAGGAAAGCCAAATCAATACGCTTTCTTTTAGTACAAGAATCATTCAAATCACTCATGTACTTTTGAAGTAAGGGAATTTTCAACACAACCACCGCTTCAAACAACATAAGTGTTCTTTCAGCAAAACAACATTGATTCACACACATCCCTTTGTGAATTGTTTTCGTTTGGCTGAAAGAACAATTACTTGTTTTGTGATCCTAACCACAGCAGACAAATTTGTGCTTAAAGCTGAAAGTGTCTTTGGTAAGCGAGGAATTTCATCTTCTGTGCATGCTTACATCCATTAACTATAGAGAATTCTGTGCTTACAGGGTAAGCGCAGATTTCTCGAGGACAACAAAAAGTTGGCCACTATCTTTCACCGATGTACCAATACTCACCATCTCTGTGATCATACCCTCTAGCCGTCACTCGGTATTGTATCACGATCCCCAGCAGCGCGATAACGGGCCACGTTCCCAAGATCAGCCAGCTGTACCAGCACGGCGCGTGCGACTCCTGCACCCGGAACCGGTCGTAGACGTACTCCACCATCCGGAACAGCTCCAGGTAATAGTCCGCGCAGGTCGCCACCACAGCGCCCCCTATGATCCCCGTCGCGATGATCACCAGGTGGCGCTGGAACTTGAGCGTGGCGAGCCCGCAGATTGTCCCGACGCCGAAGGTTATGCCCAGCGGCACCCAGATGATGTCCGGATGGTAGACCTGCTCTAGGATGACTAGCACGGCCGCCGAGAGGAGCATCCCGGCGTGGAAGCCCGTTACGAAGAGACCGAAGACCTTGAAGAGCATGGTGGCCAGGCCACAGACCACCCCTACCCCTAGGGAGATGCCGATGTTGACGCCGATGACGAGGGTGCTCTCCTCTAAGCAGATGAGGAAGATGACCACGGAGGCTAGGATGAAGCCGATCAGGAACATGATGGCCCTGAAGCAGCGATATCCTGCAACGAACAAAGTAAGCAGAAGACTTTAGAAATGTTTGGCCTTTAGAAACGATTCGCAGCGAATGAAGGAAGGACAAGAAACGATTGAGAATATGATGGTCTCAAGAACAATAACCTACAAAGAAGGAAACCAGTTTAACCCAGATCAAAATCAAGAATACCCTGCCAAGGATGATGCCAGGGTATAATTGTTCAGGAAAATAGTGGCCTCACAACATTATAACCTGCAAAAAAAAGGAGTAAATACACGCGGACAGTATACTGGACAGGGCACATCAATTTTCTGGGGGCAATTGGACAGAAAATATCTTTTGTCCAATCATAATGTCAACTCTCTGCATTCAGCCATTCCTATTGGCCAACAGCATGTCACATGACTAGAAGGACCCAAAGGGTCCATAAAATTCAATTCATTCTCAATGTATGTTTGCATAGGAGGGTGAATCCTTTTATTGCAATTTTCATGGAATTTAAAGGCCTTAGTCGGTTTATATTTTTGAATTCATATATTTCTGAATTCACACCAAAACATTGCTACTTTTTTTTCATAGATTCAGTTTGTGATTGCTAGTCAATGCAAACATTATTTCCAAATTCTTCCATAGCGTGACATGTATTTGAGGATGCAATTTTAGTTTGGTCCATAGCTTCATGCACTGTAATATTTCTGCCACACTAGGCTGTGAAATCACTGCTTATCGTAAACAAACCCACTATCTCCATATTTATCTCTCACATGTTTACAATTTCCAGTCAGGACACTCCAGTTATCAACAGGGGGAAAAAATTCTAAATTTTTAAAATAATCAAAGTGAATAAGCACTGAGTGACGGAAGACGTGAAGAATTTTGTAAACACATATTTTCAATCGCTTGATTTCAAAGCTTTTTTTGGCTGCCACATATTTTAAGCACTTTCTTCTGAGAAGCCGGCTTGAAACCCATTAAAATAAATGGAGTGATAAATTATCTATATTTAAGGACAAAGATGTGGGGAACAGATGTGCCATCTGTGAATTTATCAATTGGTGCACAGCTTGACGATGGGATAGAAAAACTGGTGTGAAAATGGAAATCAGTTTGATTCACTGGAGTTTCATTTCAATACATTCTTGTTGAATTTCATTCAACTCAAAGCTTTAGTCACTGAAATTCATGTAACAGACCTTATTCACGAGAAAGAAATTTTTGATGTTGTTTCCTGAATCTATTTTATTTATAAATTGTGCCACGTTTGAACACACACAGAACGCGTTCTTAAAGACGAAGCGTATGATTCGAGTATATGTTTGCCCTTTTCTTTTCATTTACGGTGTTTTTAGTTAAGGTGGCAGAAAGCTATGCCCCAATCTATAACAAATTAGCTCAAGTTGTCTACTGACACTCATTCAAATGGGCCATGTTTTGTCAACCGTAAACTTGAAAAATGGAATCTCCATGGCAAACTCTTGGTGGCGCACTGCATTGTGAATCGCCCGAATTACAGTGTGTAAGGTCACAAACAAAATCAAGTTCAAAAGTTCACATGTACACGTATGTAAAGTCCATGAACTCTTGGGATCTGACTGTTAGGTGTCTGGAGGTCCCTCGGTGAGACATGACTCTCCTCAAAAACATGAAAGATGTGACAACCACTGTGAATCTGCTAAAAAAAAAACTCAGTCTGACGTATGAAGATTACCACCTGCGTCTTCAGGTACTAGAAAAAAAATGAGACTTTTGTTTCTCTGTTTTGAAAAAAAAGCCAAGAAGGATGACAGAATGACTGATTGCATGTTTTGTGGTCGCAGCCGATGGGGCAATGAGGTTGATGAGTGATTTCAGCAAGATGTGGTTAGGACGGCTGAATGGTTGACAGAATTTACACGATGACTACATTCAAATTAAAGGGAGCCTGTTTGGAAAATTAGATCAACAAGTTGTGTAGAATGAAGGAAGGATCCTGCGAGGGACTTTACCATGTCCACTTGTATCATACTGATGAGAATTACAATGCATTAAGTTTGAGTAAGTGGTGCGTGTACAAAACAGTAAAGTCTGTCAAAAGCCTGTTTAGTTAGCATGAAAGGTCTGAGAATCTAATCCGTCTGGATGGGATGCCAGTCCATCGCAGACTACTCCCAGCTTTAGCCGTAACTCCTGGATAGATAGAGGCAAGTGGCTTGCCATAAGACACAATATTTGGATTCGAACCCCTAACCCTCTGATCACGAGTCTCAACTACCCTAACCACTTGGCCGCGATCAGCTTTTTTAGGCAAACATCATAGGCAGACAGTTTCTGAATGAGCAAAAAATATCTCTGAACAAAGTTGGTTCCAAGACATTTGGTTCTTGCGTGGTTCTTCAGGTTTTTTGTCAGTATTTGTCCTGGCTTCAGGATTTTTTGTCAGGATTTTCCCGACTTCAGGATTTTTTTTGTCAGGATTTATCAAGTCCTGACTTCAGGATTTTTCCTGACTTAAAGATTGTTTTGGGTCAGGTTTTTCCCGATTGCAGGATTTTTTTTAGAGAATTCCTTTTGAAATCTGGAATTCCTGAGGTTTTACCATAAAGGTGATTTTACCCAGCTAAAAGTAAATGTCGAACAAAAGAAATGAGTATTTCAGGAGTTTCTTTAGGCATTATACAATCATACACCCTACATTGCTCCGGGCATCTCTGGCAAGACAGCAACCCTGAAACCATGTGCTGATCATTTGCAGCTTTTTCTGTTCCCTTAATCTCATCCTGAATATCACCAATTTTTTCAAACTCTTGCAGCGCCAGACATTGGATTTTAGACCATTTGTAGAACTTGGGACAAGTGTGAAATTTGGGTTAAAAGGTCTTCACAGCATTCAAGATGCCTGATTTGAGGTCTCACATCACATCCAGTTGTGGGAGACCAGAGCCTGAAATCCATAGTGGATATGTGCAGCTGCAATGCAGAGGCCACAAGTGGATGACTAAGCCAGATGGAGTTAATTTGAAAACGTGACAGTGCCTCTCCAACTAGGCAAATAAACTTGGGGGGATCGAACCACATTCCCCCTAGGCATGGGGACTCATCATAGTGGTTTTTTTCTGTGGTTTGGAAATAGTGGGGATGAATCAGATGAATAAATATATCTTAGAAAAAGGGGGGCGGGTGGTGAGGGGGTATGGTACTGATCAAGATATTGGGATATATTGGGGTGCAAATTCTCTTTTCTGGGGAAAAAAAATTGCACACTTTCACATTCCGTAATTGGACTTAAGAAAAACTAACCCTTATACCACAGGCAATTGGGCCAGGAATCTTCCTATAAATACACTGAGAACTACAGAGTATGCTTCTTTCTTTTTTTTACTTTTTTAAAGCTGAACAAAGAAATTGACTGGAGCGGAGTTTGAACCTACGACCTCGAGATTGCCGTTCCAGTGCTCTACCAACTGAGCTATCCAGCCCTATGTTGGCAGTTCCCCATTTTGTCATTTTTGTCAACTTCAAGGGCGCTAGTCGGAAGTCATAAACATGTATGCCATGTAGTCACGATGCTAGCACCATTAACAATGCTTGCAAACCTGGGAATTACCGTAGCAACGGGGATCGCGGCTTTTTATTACAAGTTCCCCATGTGAAGTACAGCTAGAGTAGGTTTCCCACCAGAAAACATGACTGTAAATCACATGAATGTTTATTGAAAGAGCTGGACTGTTTATTTGACAGCCAGACCTGAATTATTTATGTTTATTCACAGATTGTAACCTACAGAAAGCAACAGAAGAACATACATGGTACTTACATGCAGATATTGCATGAAATTTGACAACAGTGTGTGTGCAATTTCCCATGTGGGTGTTGGAATTTGCCTGAATGGGTATGGTTCCTAGTAAATTAGGCTGGGGAGTTAGGGTTTTAAAATAGATTTATCTCTTTTCATGATTACAGTGTAAACATGTACAATTTGCATGCTATACATGTACTTGTAGTTTGTACATGTAGAATGAGAAATCCACGTACATTGTACAGTACTGGTACACATGTACATGTATCCAGAAATTTATCAAAAGCTTCTGAACTGCACCTACACAAAGTACACATACATTTGCCAACTTTGAAGTGTCAACCACGCTAATCCCTCCCCTAGGCCAGGCCTCATATCCCATCTCCTCTCATCAATACTTCCCTTCTTCGCACTTTTTCTTAATTGATTAATTGTCTTAGCATCCATAAACTGTTTCCAAACTTAACCCCTCACATCCCCTCCAGGAAAATGTCAAAGGAGAATCCTCAACAGCTATAACCCAGTTAATTGGCTCGTTTTCGGCCCAATTAGGAACCAGGGTTCTTGCCGGAAACTGATGGATTCCGCCGGATTATAAGCCAAAGGGATCGTCTTCTTTCATCACTTCAGTCAGCCACTTCCTGGTTGGTCAGCTGATATGGCCATGATGGAGTGGACACTGCCTATGCAGGGTGTTTTTGGCCAGTCCATTACAAGTCTGGTCACAAGTAAATCACAACACAAGTGACAGTCCAACACAAGTGACAGCGTATGACCAATTATAAAGGAATGTCTTTGTCATAGTTCATTTGAATGGCCTTTTTTTTTCCAAAGAGGTCTACATGTAACCCATATGTACAGCCAGTGGGGGAGTAAGGGGGTATTCCCCCCCCCCCAATATTGTGTAAAGACTGCCCTTTTCCATTCAAGTGTCCTTTTTTCCCCAACAAGTGCTCTTTTTTACAAAAAAAGTCACGCCCTGTTTGTGGCAGTGGCCGTTATTACTGACTGTTAGTGCCGTTTTTACAATTTTGTGCATGTGCTGCCCTGAAATGATTGTCCGCTAGTGCGCATAATCGTCTGATTTGAACAGCGCCCTCATTTATGGAGGTGGGAAAGCGTCAATGTTTCATTGTATTTACATGTAAATGGGTATTCATCAGTTCGTAGAACGGTAAATGATCAGTGGTGGACAGCTGAATTTGAACTTGTGAATTCATAGAGTATGCGTATTAGATGACATTTTTAGTTACTAGTCAATAACCAGTACTATATCCCTATGATATTTTTATGAAATGGAATGAGCCACATATTTTTAACAACATTGTTTCTAATTCGGTCACTTTCTTTTGGACTCACCCTGTAGTACAATGTACAGAGTATACCACTTGAAATCTGTTCTGCATTGACCTCCTATTGCCCCTTGCACAAAGCACAGCACGCCAGATGCCGCACACTGCGCCGATACCAACCCAAGTGACTGACAACACTATTATTTCTCCTATTCCAGAGAAACTCATTAGCAGCACAGCATCTGCCAGTGAAACTCGAAGACGCCACAAGTTAATGTAACGCTGGGTTAAAGGTACATTGCATTTGAAACTTTTTTTTCCATTTGAAGCGACAAATATCTCACTACAACGAACCTCATGAAGTTTCAGGTCTTTGCCTACTATACACTTTGAGAAAAAGAGTAAAAGGTACCGTATGCACAGTTTTTTGGACTTGTAAGCGAGTTCCTCTGTTGGTGCTCCCAATTTGAGATTTTATATTTTGAAATTTGAATTACACCGTCTCGTCAGCTTCAGGACAAAATTCTCATTTTAACCCTCCTACTGTTTGAAAAGTCACAGACCGTCAAAAAGTCCATCCACTTCCCCTGCTGCGCCTTTTACACAGGCTAGTCACCAACAGTCTGATCATATTTAAAGCAAGCACTGTGACCAGTCAAACTCAGTCAACAGACAAAAGCAGGAAACCGGTGCGCACAGCTGTCTTATCAATCACCTACATTGTACAGTCAAAGCACAGCTATAACAAGTTACATAAACAGTCACAGCCAGTCAATCCTGCTTTATTTAGGCTGGGAGCTCTTAACTGTACATTGTAACTGTTGAAAACAGTCAATTGATTGATTTTGACTGAAAGGACAATTTGGCACATTATGTTTGCATAGGAGGGTTATTAACTGCTTAGTGTAAATGTACGGTAGTTGACGTTAGGGTCCCAGAGGATGGGTAATCTTCACAGTATTCAACAAATATCGCCAAATTTCTTAAAGTGTGCCCGCGTACACACTTTTTTTAAAACCACCTTTAATGATTGTTTTCTTCCAAACGATGCCACTTCAGACGCAATAATTCCACAAGGTATTTGGTACCAGTCCCATATTCACTTTGGGAGCAAGGAATTTCTCATTAAATCGGAACGTTCCAATGTCCCTACGGTACCGGTATGTGCCTTTAATCCAGTCTGTACGTGTGGCATGATTCAACTTTTGAAACGCACTTTTGTCTCACCCGCGACCTTTTGGTCCCGGTCGATGCATTTACCCCATGATGTTCTCGGAATGTGCTAAAAAGATTTCATGGCGTGTCTCCGTCCAGGAGCGAGGACATTGGACTACAAAATGAAAAGTAAACCGAACCTTATTGATTTCTGCGCTGGGATGGAAAACCAATCTTGTGTTTTTTTAATTAAGAAAAGCCGCACACTGTTCCAAGGTCTGATTGCGATGAAGATTTGTTCACATCACAGCACGGGCGAGACTGGAAGAATTTAATTTATAACAAACACTCACAATTACATTGTACCATGTTGTTCTTGTAACAAGTAATAAATAGTCTTAGTCTGAAGGACATGATGAGGCGATCATTTCCAAGAGACCAACTCTATAGGTGCAAAGACAATCATTTATACATGTACAGTAAATACGCTTCAGTGACTGATTTTTCAATCTTTTTATTTTTCAGTCAAACCTCAGTCAAATCTTAAAATGACCTACGAATAATATTAGATTTGATTAAGTTTGAATGAATTACATGTTTCAGTGATTAAATCTTTTTGTGGGAGCAGTATTTGAGAAACAGGGTTTTTTTCCAATGATGGTCGGCCGACCATCGTTGAAAATTGATACAAAACTTTCATCTTTCTTGAAAATGACAGCACACCAGGTGCCATGATTTTCCAGGATGCTTTAGACTGTCATTCACTAACAGTCCAGTAAGGTATTTCATAATAATTTGGTAGTTTTGTTTTTAATGTTTGCAAATGTTGCCTTTAAATATGATTATTTCAACTGAAACTGAGTTCCTAATTTTGTTCACTGCTCTGTGATGCACTGAATGCTGTAAAAGTTTTAGCAATGGAATCCATTTCATCTCTGTGAGCTTGTGGAGTAAGCTATTTTCAAAATTATCTGAGCCTGATTGAAATGCACTCTTGGGGACAAGAATCGGCTACTAAACAGAGATGTTTCCTAAAAAAAAAAAATACTTGGAGAAAAGATTTTGATTCCAAGTTTGGGATAAATTCTCATCTGTATGGCACCAAGTATGTCCAAGTCTACAACAAGTTGTTGCAAGCTCGTTATCTTCTGTTAAGAAACTTCGTGAAATTGAGCTCTACTGCTCCGATACAAAATTACTGTTTCCTTCTTAAATTCATTTCACTGGACTCCAAACTGTCAATACCACCTGTCCTCCTGAGTAATTAATCTGTTTTTATTCCAACCATGGCAGGAAAAAGGATACCTTTATTGCTCCCCCAAGTAGTGAGCTGAATTGCCCGCTGGGGAATTCTATTTTCTCAAATTTCAAACAGTGTGGGATTTTGTTCTGTTCTCTTTGTTTCTAAAGTTTCAGAATGTTTATGGGGAAAAGGTGTTTGGTTTCTGAATGTTTATGGGGAAAAGATGTTTGGTTTCTGAAGTGTGTAAGGAAAGGCAATGATGACATTTTGATTGTGTAACTGATATGTTTATCTGGTTTATTGCCAAAAAAACTCCAATTTCTAAAACATTTAATTTGTGAGGACTACGTTATCAATCATAATTTTTCAAGCAATGCAAGGATCAATTATTGCTATCAAAAATTCATAAACGGGAAACATTTCTGTGGAGTTTGGAAGGGAAAAAGACAGATAAACTTACTGGTCACGTTAGCCCTTATCACACTAGAGCCTCTCAACCTGGGTTGAACTCAACCCTGGGCGAACCCAGTGCCGCCCCGGGTTGAGTTTTTTATTTTTCAACCCTGCGTTCAACCCCGCATCGTTTCACTCTTGTTTCATGCAAATCAAGCTTATTATGCTCAGTTACTACTGTTTCGAACCCTGGCAAGAATTTCAACCCGGGTTGAAAATCTCAACCCTGGTCTGGAGCAGGGTTGAGTTCAACCCGGGGCGAAACCAATCTCAGGGTTGATGCAGGGTTGAAATTCTTCAAGTGTGAAACGATGCATGTTTTCAACCCTGCGTCAACCCTGCGTCAACCCCGAGATTTGTCTAGTGTGAAAAGGGCTTTTGTGAAGTTCATACTTCACTTTGTCACATGTAAAGCCAACACCTTACTTCAAAATCAAGGGAGAAGGGACATACCTGTACAACGTAGGCGAGAATGTCAAATACTTTTGCCAACCTCCAGCAGCTAAATTAATTCAAAAAGTACATGTACAGCCAAATTTTTAAAAGAAAGTTTAGCCTCCCCGCCCACTTCCTTTTTGGAGGCCGCCTCCCCTTTTTTTTCTTTACCAAAAAAATGATACATTTTCAACAGTGACATCATTTTGGCCTCTGTCAGTTGCATCTAGCCTACATAAAGCTGGTACCGGTATGCCATTCCCGAGTACAGTGGCAGCCATTTAAAAAAAACAAAAAATGGCGGCCATCTTGCCAAATAGCCCAGTGGGGCGGCCATTTTGGAGGGGGGAAAAAAAGGCCTCTCGCTTCCCTTTGTTAAAAAAAGCAGGACGCTAAACACATTTGTTTTTTTTATTTGGCCTAAATGTACATGTATGTAGGGAAATCTTTTTCTCCATCATGTCATCATCAACACCAAATGACATCTGTCAGGTTTTTTTTAAATTGTTTTTGTGGTTTTTTTGTTTGTTTGGTTGGCGGGTTTTTATGGGGTTGTTTTGGGTGGGTGGTTTTTTTATTGGGGGGGGGGGGGTTAACGAGGAAGTTACTTTTGCCAGCAAGTGAATCTTGATATAATATCATCTCTACAAAAAAATATCCGTGTGAAATATAAATCTCAAGATACATAAATAACCCGGTCTGGTCAATTTCAGCACGATTATTCTTGCCTCCCAAGGCGGGTACAAAAAATGTGTAAATTACCTCCAAATATGGAGTAATGGTCAGCAAGAATGAGGGATTAAACCACGAAATACAGAGGGGAACCACCTGGGAATGACAAGCATACAGTGGGCTGGTGTGGTCAGCATTTCAGCTGAGGTTCATGCATTGAATGATGACATTGAGCAATGTCAAGATTGAATTACTGTCAGAATCAGAAACTTTCTGAAACTTTTTAAAACTAAATCTGTTTGAACAAAAAAGGGGATGCGCTCTGTCACATTTTGTTATCAACTTCAAAAGCATTTTAAGTTAATAACAAAATTAAGCCTTTTCCATGTAAAGCACAAAATAAATTGTGATATTTCATTTTGTCGGATCAGTTTTTGTCTCCCATTTCAAAAATAAGGATGCAAACTTGGACTTTGGCCCTAAGTCGGACCGGGACACTAGAGACTTAAAAAAAACAAGACCTGACAATTGCGCATCTTATGCACATTATTCCTTGACAAATTTATAAAACAACACAGTGCTGGGGCAGCTTTCCAAACCAAAACTTACCGAAGAACGTAAAGATGATTCCGAAGACGAAGCACATGCCGCACACCACAGCGATGGGCACTTCGTAGTCGTAGCGGATTCCATCGCACGGCAACGGCGGCGCCTCAGTGGTCGGCGCCAGCGTCATGGGCGGGGCCACCGTCGTGTTGAACTCCGTCTGCAGCAGCAGGCTGAGCGACGACGGGGACTGCTGGGGGCCTTTCGCAGACATGCTCATTTGTGAGTGCACGACGAGAAATAACAATGTGGAACAACAAGAAAGTGTGTTGATCTGGATGAGAAGATGTCGGGTCTGGTGACTGACTCTACGTCATAGTGTCGTTCCTAGGCTTCTGTAATGCAACACCAGAAAGGAAATCTTGTGAGTCATGGCAGATTTATGCTTGCTGTAAAGCTTAGTCACTTTACAAAACCATCTACATCATACCTGTATGTGTGGAGTTTATATCTCAAGATCTGTACGTACTCTGCAAAAGAAAAAGTACACTGGAGACTACCGCTGGGCAAGTAAAGTCTCGATTACTCGAGTAGTGGCAAGTAGTTTATGCTACTGGATGTCCTACTCGTGGTTTTTCACCTACTCGAGTACTTGTCCTGGTGCAAGTAGAAGCAGCTACATGCAAGTAGCAATTGAAGGTTTTAAGGTTCATGGATTATTGCGTTCCTGCAAACAGGGAGCCACTCCCTCCACCTCTCTCTCCCTAGGATTCCATTCATCCCCAAAAAATTCAAGTACCGGTAAATGACTCAAAATGTCGCATGGTAAGGATATCTCAGATCCGGAGAATGTGGTGTGACTCGCACGCTATTTGCTTTTTACTTGTAGTTACTTTTTTTAAATGTGGCTTAAAATATTAGGGCATAAATTATTCATCAGAGCAGACTGGTATTAATTTGTAATTAGCTTTATGTCACTGCTTTCATTTCTATTCGCAAGTTCCAGAAATGAAGATTTGACCTCGCTTTCAATTTCAATATGGCCGACTGTGAATAAAGCCCATATCCAGACAAGTACATGCTGTAAGGAAAGAAGGCATGTTCTACAATGCACCCTGTAGGACTGATTCATGATTTTGATGGCACTTTGTCACTTAACTGATCCAATTATTAACAACAGATCCCTTGACTACATACATACGCGTACAGTGTAGATGACATTCAATTCATTATCAAAACAACGCACTACACACTAATGGATGGTCCAGCAAGTGGGTTCTGGATCAATATCAGGACGATGTTTTAAACAAACACACAACTTACAGCACCAATTTTGTTATCCTATACTAGACAAGCAAGCTGTCAAAGGTAACTGTGGAAATTTCAAGCAGAAATGTACACGTACAATGGTGCGGCAAGTAACTTTTGTCATTTGAATGACATTTACATGCACTGCAAATGCACAAGTACGGTAGACATACCTACGGTCATGTAGTGTATTCGCATTACCTTTCCATACTCAAAATGCCAGAGTTAAAAGTCAACGCCTGCTAAATTTCACTGTCACAGCTCAGCTCTGATAACAAGACAATCTCAACCGGTGAAAATTGACGACATAACATTCACAACGCTAACTGATCCAAGCAGAAACTGGCATACATACATGTACGCAACTCCACAGTAACTTTATCATCCAAAATCAGGCAGTTCACTGCAAGACACAAATGCAATTAGAATGTCGAAGACTACCGGTACTTATCCAAAGTGGCGACACCAGTTGACACACCCAACGAAAAATTGCTGACAAGTCATATTCGACAAGAAGGTATAAAACTCTGCCTCTTCGCTCCACTATCTCACAGAAGTTTGGAGTCTGGCGCAAGCAGAATTGGACCGCGAAAATGCAAGCGCAACTCCATGGGTCCCACCAGGCAGTTTACTACAAGACACAAACGTGATTAGAACGTCAAGGACGTTTTAGCCAAAGTGCCGAAGGCAGTTAGCACACCCCTCGATGATCAGTCGCGCCACAAGCACAAGAAGGTACGAACTTAACAACTTCATTCTCCACCATCTCATGGAAGTTTGGAGTCTGGCGAGAACTGATTTGGACTGTGCACATGCAAGCGCAAAGCCTGGGGTCCGAGCTCACGGAACCATGTCATGTGTACTTGATTCTGCTTCCTCTTCAGTCAGCGCAGAGAGCGGCCTGGGAGTGATTAGTCCTTTCCCCCCACCAGCGATACGATCTGGGCCCCGCTTTGCTGGTTGTATTAAGCTTCTAGAGCTGAGGCAGGGTCTCTAGGGAGTTTCGTGTAGTTAGTTAGAGATGTGTTGAAAGTATGGACTGATATGGAGACCAGCAACCACATGCAAATGTACACGTATGTAATCATTGTAATGTAATGTACAGGTTGCATCCAAACTAAACTGGGGCAGTCCAACTACAGGTGGGCACACAGTCCCAATTGGGTCCACTGTACTAATTCAAGCCCCATTGAAAACAGTGTAAAATCAACAAAGTTCAGGGCCAAGTAACATGCAAGCCAACATCACTGGGGTTTCTGAAACAAAAATCAAATTATTGTCTTGTCTTTCATCTTTTCAATTTTACGTACATTAGCCAATTACATTTTTAAATACATGTATTCACACCCAAATAAAATCACCTCCCGAAAAGTGATAGTTCCCGAGCCTGCATGTAGCCATTTTAAGAGTGGCACCCTTCCACTTTCACAGGCAAATAGGACCCATTTTTTCATCCGTGATTTTATCAAGCCTGCCCTCAGATGGAAGCCCCAAAACCAGGGAGTTGATCCTTGGGTATATTTAAACAATTCCACCGTTTTTAAAGCCAAACGGTCTCCATTTTCAAAAGAAATTGTGGGGGCACTTTTTATGCTAATCAGCTGGCGTCGAAATTCTCGCTTGAATTAGTTCAGTGCACCCAATTGTGGCAACAAGCTGGGATATGCCCAACTACCGGCACATTAAATGGACAGACATTCCTTTCTTTACAAAAATGTACTTATCATTTTTTGTTAAAGTGACCAGCCACATGTTGCATTTACAGAACTGCGGAGAACACATTTACCACATCACTGCATTCTGAAACATGATGAATTGCGTCGGTGTGCACTCATCAAGGTGTGCGGGGAAACCAACGTGAATTGGCACTTTTATGTATCATACTGAACATATACTGTAAATGTCACGACAGCACAGTGCATGCGTGCAGTTTCTACTTGTGCAAATGTATGAAAATCAATCTCACACACTGATCAGATGAATAGTATTACATTGTACATTATGTATGAAAATGTTCGTGCAAAACACATACAGTACATCTACCGGTACCAGCACATTGTACACATACCGTTACGAGTGCGGTACATATACAGTCGAGTCTCGTTTATACAAACTCGTTCGGACCTAGCCAAATTGTTTGTTATATCAGAATTTTGTATTAAGAGGAACATCAGTCCTATTCATTGTGCACATAAATGCACAGTCGGGACCAAGGCCTTGTGTTTGCTATAACCAGAATTTGTATTAACAGAGTTTGTACTAACGAGAGTCGACTGTACACTGATATTAATTGCACAACCAACAACTCTTGTTAGAAGGCCCAACATGAAACAGACAATGAAACTGCCAACGAAACAAACTATGTACAACTAGCCAGTAGCTGGAAAATGTGTATTTTTTCAGGCTCTTGTAAACTGAAAGGGCGTAGGTCTTTTTGCGGCAATTCTACATGTAACTATAGGCCTACACGTACAAAAGTACAACTACAAGGCCAACACATAAATACTTAATGACGTGTTTGCCAAGTTCAAATAACTGATCATACAAAGTACCGTATGTACATGTATGTACGATAATAATAGTGCCCTTCAAGTATAATCCCACCGTAATGGATGATAAGTTTGACAAGTCAACAGTTTTGCTTTCATTGTATCCATTCACTTCTATTGAGAGACGTAATGTACTGTACATGTACATGTACAGGCACTGTGTACATAGGTGTACGTAGTACTAGAGAATGCTTCTGACACTCTTCTGGCGCCAGAGATAATTACGGCAACGTTGAGTGCCTGTGTAAAGTGTCAAGAATTACGGTGTGCACCCTCTGCCCCTAGATGTGTGCACCTCAATTAAGAGGTAAAAAGGTGAAAAATTACTGTGAAGAAAAACACAAGTGTACAAATCCTATAAATACTGATAAATGCTTCAACAATGCACATCATGTACATTACATGTACATACACATCAGTACACTTTTCTACATGTTTTTCAGTATGGATGATGTCATTAAAATGTCACTTTTACATAATTGGAGCAAATTGTACTCACCAAGTTTCAAGACAATCAAGCCTTTTAGTTTTACGTACCGGTACCTTGTAAGCAATCATAAAAATTGCATTTCCTACATGTACGGATACCTTCATCCAGTACGTGTAGATGTACATGTAATTGTGCAGACCAATCAACTTTTGTTCCTGTGGGAAGCATGTTGTATGTACATCTGTCTACGCTAGAATCCTTGGTCTGTTCTAAAATTGTCACATACTGATACCCCTGGTATAGCTTATGGTTAGTTTATAAACTTGCCTCGTGACAGCACATGCACCATAAACAGTGAACTAACAATTGAACAATGCTCAAAGTCTAATGACCACATACCAGTACCTGCACACTCAGTTTTCCTGAAGTTCTGTAGATCCGCCGACCTTTTCAGGGAAATATATGTTCACTATTGCTCATTCAAACTTCACCAACTTCCAACCACATGCAGGTACACTGTATAATCCACTTGACTCCCACGGAATCCAAAGTCCCGAATAGTAAACAGCAGTCCACGCAGGACACCCAACTTCCACTTTTTACTCCAAGAAATGTCACTCATGAACTTCCTGCCTCCCTGAAATCCCTCCTGCAGGCTGCAGGGGGTAGTATCTGGTGTATCAAGTGTAATCCTTTGTTTGCGCAGTATTAAAAAGGCAGAACAATTTTACAGCTTGCAAGTAAGGAAAAGATTAGCGAGCTATTAGTGCCTGTGACCAGGACACAGAATAACAAACCTGTCATTCAGGAAGGCCAACCACTTCAGCAGGCCCCTGGTCTTTGGGGGGGGGGAGGTGTGAGTCATGCTTGTGGTGATCCCCAGTGGACTGGGAAAAACCTCATCAAGTATAAAAAAAAAAAAAAAAAGAAGTCAGGCTTAACTTGAAAACAAGTTGAGCATGCAAACAAAGACCTATCAAGGTCTGTTACTGGTTCACAGAAAACAAGCAGCTGTTTGTGGGTTTTTCTATTAAACTAATAGTTGCCGATGTGATTTGCATACAAATCGATTTGGATCCTGCATGCAGCGTTTCTGTGTTAAGCTTTG